ACTGGTGTGGGTGTATGTGTGAGATGTGGGAGGGGGAAAGGAAAGGCCAGAAATATACAAAATGTACACCGTTAGAGGTCCTAGGCAAAAAATCCAGGTCCATTTAGAATTCGTCAGGGTGTGGAAATCGAGCTAAGGAGAATAATATCAACTGATCCCAAGAGTATCTGATTGTACTTGCGTACATTTTTCGCATGTTCCTGTGGTCAAAGGTGATGGGTGACATGCACAAATGACTTGAATCTAAGGCTTAGATGGGAGTGTTAGCTTAAGAAACAAGATGAGTGTGTCTTAACGATGCAGAAGCGGAAAAAAGAAACGGTCAATTTTCACACAGGCAGTTTCAAATCAAGCCAGAGACATTGCTCAATAGAATTAAAGATAAATGGCAGGAAATGATGAAGAGGATAACTGGATGATGGGTCTGAAGCCTATGGAGAAGATGCTTAGGCATCTTAATCACACCCCTTAATAATCTAAAATGACGTAAACAGGACACCAAATTAAAGCCCTATAGACGGCCACAGTAATTTGTATGTGGCAGGTAGCAACAGACAAGCGAGTCAGAGAAGGGCTAGATGAAAGTTACAAGCCATGATCCAAAAGCCCTACATATGGCATCTGAAACCGGTGATGAAGGTGATTATGCTTCATTAAATCCACTTGAAACGATACAATCATAGGCAAAAATGGAGGAAACGAAGGAACAGATGGTGTGAATAGGTAAGTGGGGTTGAGAAAAATAGATGCTTAACTCGAAGTACACTGATGTAAAGCATTAGACACCGAGAAGGGATGTGTCTTGCCTATTTATTGCTTGGATGTGCGGTATCGTTGACGTCAACTGGCTATGTATACATCCGTAACTACACCTCAAACACACTAAGCAAATTCACGGGTTAATATCCTTTAAATTATGATCATTATCACTAGATCCTCAGGTAAAACAATTTTACTTAATAAGGATAAGCTTTTCAAATTTTCTGAGCCCAGTGAAATTAAGGTAATTCTTCACTTAGTTAAAGAAAGCTATGAGTGGCGCAATCATCACATATGGTCAGTTGTCTGGACGTAAGTCATAAGATAGGTTTCAATAAATTTAATATAAGTCTCTCCAATTCGTGCAATAGGATAAATGCTCGTTAGCTATTAAACAAGATCTAAATAAATGTCAAGAGAGTAGAAAAGCTTAAAATTCCTGATAGATTGTCTCAAGCTGCTGGTTTACCTCTTGACCATTCAAGAAGGCCTATTGATTCTCATTATTCCTAGCTGTAGTGAGTATTTTTAATTTATGACTATACTTTCTTTCCAACTCAGATCAAATTACCGCCAGAGAAGAATAGGGCAGGATATATAAGGTAGTGCTAGTTCCAAAATAAAATCCAAGGTGCGCAATATGCAAGATCTCTAACTTAAATAAAACGCACTAACACTATAAAAAATATTAAAAGTTCGTATTAATGATGGGTAAATTGCCAATGAGGGTGAAAACTAATAAATGAAATCTATTTCAGCAGCACTATAGAGACAATTTAATTTCGTCTTGCCTTTTAAATTTGTATACACTTACTGAGTTAGGACTTGATGATGTTGAGCAGTATTAATCTCTTCACTAATATGGAGTTTCTTAAGCATACAATCAGGATGAAAAGATACAAGCATTGAAAACAGAAAGTCTCTATCAAGACTACTTCATCTATTCCTACTTAAGCGATATCGGAGGACAATCCGTTAGGTATTCACCAAGGTTGCATTCAAATTATGTCAGAGTCGATCTACCAGAAATGTGCATGATACCGTGATACCTCTTAAAATCGTTCAACTCTGCCTAAGACAGAATGAGAAGGCTTTATTGCGTCACATCGAGTCGAAATTGGCGGCAAGTAAAATGTGAAGAGATCTTAATTCCCCTACATGCCATGAAGATGCGCCAGTCATTTCAAAAGGTCGCCTTACAAAGTAAAGTAAATCGTTTTCCTATCCAAAATCCAAGCGAAATTTTAAGGAGTCCTCCAAAGTGACCCTGTGTAAGAGGTGTAAATATTAGACGGTTGTAAAGTAGCCCATCTCTGAAAACTGTAAGCAACATCCTCCTAGAGTTCAAAAACTGCTAGATAAGATGCAGGTACTTTTATGGCCTACTAAGATAAAGAACACCGAAATCGGTTCCATAGAGATCAGTAGGAAATTTATATAAGGAAGGCAAATTTAAAAACATTCCCCATATAACATAGGCTGCCTATAGATAAAAAATCCCAACAGGATGAGAAGTGGGTCATGCTTCTTGTGTAACACAGTGTGACCATGGCGATAAGATCTTAGATTTAACATATTCGTCTTACCCAAAAAGCTTAGAGATTTAATACCATGGGGAATGCTGATTATACTCATAAAGTAGGAAATTCAGTCGAGTCTGGAAGAGAATGGCCTCTTAGGACGCATGGTAAAGTTACTTAATTGTTAGAGATTAGCTTAGGAATCTGCCGATATTTTTCTTTCAACTTGAAATTTCAAATGGGATTAAGGTATCAGTCAAGAGAGTTGCAATCATTAGCTTTCTTCTGACACTAATGAGACTTTTAATTTACCCTGCTGAAGAGAATATATTTTAATTGATCGTTGTATAATTTATAAATTGTGACATATCATAAATAATCCATTTATAATGGAATTATACAGTTTTAGGTATCATTACCCTAGATGGTTGGTTGCAGAAAAAGATAAAGTAAGCAAAGAGTAAATTTAAACGTTTAGATATGCTTAGATAGATAAAATTCGTAGTTGCTAGCGCCTTTTACAAACACTAGGCATCCGTAGTGCACAGAATATTTTTCTAACGTTGTCTAAGTAAGCCTGTAAATGCGCAAAAGGCGAGAACAATTTTTAACAAGTTTATGGAACTAAGGTGAGTGGACTTGATTTCAAAAAGCAGACGCAATCAATAGAAAATAAAGGCAACTTCGTCAAACATGATAAAAGGATCATATCTTCCATAGGACAAGTTTTATTTATAGCAATTAAAATAAATCAGTAATAAATATGAATAGAAACTTCATAGAAAAACAAAAAAATTGTCTAACGATACTACTAAATAGAACTAAAGTCCAAACAGAGTCGAATTCCGAAATTCAGAGTAAACTTTTAACAATTTCATGATCAATTAATAGATAAAAATGAATTAAGATTATAATAATAAGCAGAGTATACATTCCTTATAGAAACGGCTTTTCGTGGCATGAGAAAAAAAGATTAAAAACGGCCAGTGTAAAATAATAATGATGATGAATTTAAATATAAAACTTAAACGACTAAATTTGTTTATAGAACATAACTCGAATATGCTGCATGAATGAATCAATAGCCACTAAAAGAGGGACAGTTACTAAAAATTGTACACTTTGTTCTTATAAATAAGCCTGGGTCGGATGGAGGCAAATATGAAATGAAATGATGGTGAGATTGTTATGTAAATATGA